AATTTTTATTTCCTCAATGTTTGACATTTGATTGCACTATTCGTTGGAATTTTCAATGAAGGTTCACAATAGTTCGCTTATTGCGTTGGTAACATTTTCTTTTTTACTGGCCGATGTGATTGGCCAGCATAACTATGCTGGCCGAGGTAGAGAAAATAGTGTTGTTGTTTTGCGTACATTGCGGCCAGTATAGGCCTGCATAGGCCAACAACTTGCTGTTTTTTGCCGTACTTGCGAGCCACCGAATACGCCTATTATTTGTAATTTTGTTTCGTTCCAATATAGTTTATTGAAATTCTTTAACGAGTGGCGCATAATATTTGTTCTAGTACAGTTACTAAGTAACGCAAACATATGTCAATACATACTTAAGGTATTGTTTTACCGATTCATCAATTCCGAGATCGTCTATAATATAAATGAATAGAAACGCCGATAATTCATATCTCTGTTCGACTTACGTAAATCGCCTTATCCTCATCCCAATAAATCTGCATTTTAAGATTTATTCTTTTTGATATTAAAAAATCGGTAATTATTAATATACTATTTTATTTATAGTATAACAATATTTTATAGCTATGCTGTGTGTGTTGCTGCCTTTCTAGAGTACATTTCGTGTCTCAAAAGTGTAATAAAAGTCATGTATTTATTTAATAATATAACCTTTTGATAACAGTTGTTATTGTTCTAACCCGACTAAAGCTAGGGTAAGTCTGGTTACACGAATTCTAAGAATTTATTGTATCGCTACCAACAATTCAGTATATATAGTCATTATATAATCTGATAGTCTCAATTATTTTTTTATAGAAAACTTAAGTCCCTCCAATCAATGTCACGTACATAAGTTAGTAAACACTGTAAAAATTACACTTAATTTAACTTTTAAATAAAATTTGTTTTTATTATTTTTAATTTATATGAAAGTCTACTTAAGAAACGAGTTTATCTTATAAAGGCAAAATCGTACGTGAAAAAAAAAATTTCGTACGAAAAAAATAATACAGAACAAGATAACATCAGAATCACGACAGATAATGATAATAGCCTCAAGGAAATCTTTAAGAATAGAGAATACACAAAATGGCGAACAAATTAGACACGTCCTTACTTAGACTCTAATGAAATAAAATAAATAAAATTTAACAGTATCTCAGAGTATTATGATCAGGATCTCAGAAAATATATTTACCTACTACTAAAACTGGCTCTAATCGCCAGAATTTTTATCTGACGAAGAAAACAATTTCTACCACAGTATCCTAAAGAATCAGAAAAAACAACAATTTCCAGAAGTCTCATATCCTTTCAAACAAAAACAATATACTATCATATCAAACAGTTCCATTAGATGGTAGTGCGGGTCCCGCATCTAGGTATCTAGCCGACAGCGCCAATTCTGCTAAGAATGGGTAAAGGATAAAGCAGCTGTCTGTCTAGCGTGGAGCTAATCTGTAATTTCGTATTTGTAGCGACACCTTTTGATTTTCATCCAGTCGTTAATCAGAGTTTCCATTGTAGATCAACTATCCCAGCTAAATAAAATGCATTTTAGTTTTTTATTCATCTAGATTATAGCTCATTTGCAACTCTTTAATTGAAAAGATCATTATTCTTTGTAAGAAGGAGCGATTTATTTCCATGCACTGAGAATCTTCAATTATTGGAAAAGATATCAAGTGTTTATCTCTATGCAATAAAATACAACAACAACTGTAAATGGCAATATACTATACATATTGTTTCCTTTTGTAAATAACATTAGATACATATGCTACAATCAATTGTAAGACGCGTTGTTTACAAATTTTGCTACACATGTTTCAATTAATCGTAGAACGCATTGTGCAATCTTATTAATTGTTGTAAAAAAGTAAGCAGAAGACGTGTGAATTAGGTGAACTCGCCGATTTAATACTAATTGATTATATATAGCAACGAGTGTGCGTATAAAATTTTTTTTAATGTCAGTTCGATGTGAAAATTTATTGCCGTGAAATGGTAATAAATCTTTAGAAGAATTTTTAATGAAATCAAACGAAAAGTATTTGACCTCTCAAATTATAATTCAATATGAAATGACAGATATCTTGGAATATAATGACAATCCAAAGAGATCCACTCCATCGTGTTCCCGAAGAAAAGACGTGAATTTTTTAGATACTCTTTAAGAAGAGCTTTCTTAATTGAATGAGTATGGTTATGTTAGAGTGGCAGCCTCGTCGACCAAATCTTAGATACGTACAAATAATGGTCCATTGTGACATCACACGTAAGACAATGTCCATACGTAGTTCTGAAGCAGCACCTTAAACGTAGAAGTCCGAAAAATTGAGTGCACAATCACTTTTTTTCTTAAAAGGAATAAGACGGCTCCCTCATTCGAGTAGAACAGAAACAATCTGTCAAACTTATAAACTTGCCCCTAATTCTAAAGGATGAAAGTTTTATTAAATGAGTTAAAAAATTGGCTCCAAGATTTTGAATCTGACAAGATTTTGAATCTGAATTGGAGTACACTTTTCTCCTTATCCGCGGATCCACAACTGTGACAAAAACTGTTAGACCAAATCTTATGGCATGCCTTTCCAATGTGTAGTGGCCTATCAGTACCGGTACCATAGTGCTGAGTTGATTTGGTTTTAGTTGAACCAGTCAACCGAAACGTATTATGAGTAACTTCCACCACATATGTGAGTCTTTCAATATAACGATGTCGAAGGAAACTACAGTGCCTATGAACTAGCTAAACGTAGTACTAATCCTCCCCTGAATATGAAGAGAATAGGTATCAGAATACCTCATATGACCTTTGTAAATTAAGATTGAAGAATAGTCTCATTCAAAAGACGAACTCTTGTCCTGATCAAATGACTACATTTGACTGACGTCCAGATTAATGTAGTCGCCACTTGATAGAACAAAGTCAAGGGATTTACTCAGCTTACTATGGCAGGATATGTCTAAGCTTGTGGCTTGCATAACCGTTCGCTGACTATTTGCTACACACTATCTTAGACTGAGAATTCTCTATTATAAATATTGTAGAAATTGTAAAAATAAGAAAGAGCTTTGACCAAAATTAGAACGAACTTTTTAGACATTCTGTACTCTATTGGGGCCTTGAAATGGTTTCATAATTTAAGTTAATGTACGTTAATTAATTTAATTTACGTTGCGGTCTTATATGAAGTAGTGGTATCACAATGAAATAGTAGAGTCTTAGAAAATGACTAATTTGAATGTTTGAACTGCAAGTAAGAGGCTAAGTCTGGTCGTGTGTAACTTTCACGAATTTAAAAAAAAAATTGATATTTACTAAATCACAACCTGATTCATACCTGAAATGAAGGCAAATGTTTAGAAATAGGTACGCATAAAGGAACATAGAAACAACAGGTAGAGTGATTGCAATGTTAGCCTAACACAAGGGAGAAACAAATTACAAATGTATTTCGATATTAGATAAGGAAAGGACGCACCACAAAAGAACGACACTTAAGATGTAGAGGATACATCCTAAAAATCATTAACCGAACAATGGAAAGTGCAATGCAAATCACAGCGACAACATTATCTTAAGCTACCTATTACTGCAATATCAGACTCCTGTAGATATATTTCGTGTTTTTTTAATAGAGACATGTTGAATTCCGGGACATAATCGTTATTACTTAGCAGTGCTCATCTGTCATCTTTAATTATTCTAATGATGATATATATATTTGTATTGTAGTTTAATACATATATGACATAAATTAACCATACTTAATAACAGAAGAGTATTAAATTCTTGTTATATATGACTACTAACTGTTCTTATTATTTTGTTTTAAATATTTGTTTTTATGTTTATATAAATATATATATATTATTTTCAGTGATTTACAAGGCAACAATATTACTGTAATATTTGAACATGACTTTCAACGGCTTTCAAAACTAAGGATACTGTAAGTAAAAAACATTTGTGTTATCTTTTTATTTTAATTTTTTTTTTAACTTTTTATTTATTTTTTTTTTTTTGATTTTAGCCAATTGACAGATAATCAAATTCACACGATTGAAAAAGGTGCCTTTCAAGACTTAACATCTTTGGAGAGACTGTAAGTAATCGTTTAGCAAGGTTTTCTGATTTAGTGCTTATGTACGAGTAAATGTAGAATTTTTATTTAATACTTCTTATGTTTGATTTAATTTATTTCTTATGTATATGGATTTTTTAACTTGGGATTTGTGCACGTTACAATTAAACTGCATTGCTTTAAAGACGCCTTAACAACAATCGGCTAAAGGCAATCCCTGAAAACTTTGTGATAAGTTCAGCAAGTCTTTTACGATTGTAAGTAGTTTAGATATTAGTTATAATTTTGTAGAGATTTCTATACTTCCGTAGATAGTTGTCTTGAAATATTTTTTGCTTTAAATTGATTTCATGAACGTTTTTTTTGTGAAATATGAAATAAGTTGTAAGTAACATGGTAATATTTAACTATTTCTTTGCTAGAGATATTTCTCATAATGCTATAGCTACTGTTGGACGACGTTCTTTTAAGGGAGCGCAATCATTACGGAGCCTGCAAATTGATAATAATCAAATAACTTGTATGGATGAACACGTTTTCAAAGGACTCATTGAGTTAGAAATTCTGTACGTAAAGTTGTAAAGTTGTGACTATGTATTGCATGTTTATTGTATTTTGTGTGGTATAAAATGTAGTAGAAAAAAGTTTTTAAATTCTCTTCAAAGAATTTCTATTGAATTTCTATTGTTTGAAATATTTAAAAGCTTGTGTATTAAAATTGAATTTACAAAATAATTTGATATTTAGAAATTGAAACCAATTGCAAAGCTGTGACTAACGTTAAGCTTCTAATCTTAAAAAATCTTAAAAAAAAGTTGTGATAAAAATCTTAAGTGTTAAAAATTATAAAAAAAAAATTCAAAATTATATTATCATTGTATTTTTTGTATACTAGTATGTAATCTTAATATTGAAAATAATCCTTAACATAGTTTTATCATATGTTAGAAAGAAATTTTTATACCCATCTCATACGAAGTGTGAAAACTGCAAGTCTATACAGTCTATTCGTCTATATATTTGAATAGACTTTATTCCTTAAGTTTCAATTTAATTTATTCAATTTATCCTTGTCTTCTGACTATTTGTTTGTCAGCTTGTAGCAAACTAATCTCTCAGTTTGATAGAAAAACTATTTTCTTGATAGAAAGATATCAGTTGCGGATATTTGGTATATTGAATATATTAGACATTTAGGCTTGTAGATTTTTTGAGAACGGTTCTTGAACATTTGTCAGGCTTATTATATTTGTAACTTATTTTTTATCCATCTTAGTTAAAATTTGTTAAATAATGAATATAAAAAGTATATTATACTAATGCCAAATTTCATTTAGACTAGATTAAATTTAGATAGAAGTATCATGCAAGCTATCATAGTTCAAAACCAGTTTGAATATATTCCAATATTAAAAAAATCTTATACTCATTTTCACGATATGTCAAATATAATCTTTTACCATCAATGATTGAATCAATCAGCTCAGATTTGAGTATAGGTAGATTGTTCATAATAAAGATTTGATGAGTATCGTATTATTCAATATTATAAAATGTATTAAAATATAGCAGAACCGACAGGCTAGATTTGGATATATACTGAAAATTAGAAAGGAGTTTTAAAAATATATATATATTAAATTTTTCTGCTCTAAAGTAAAGACTTTTATTAATGAATTATGGTTACAAGAACGGCCGGGTCTACGTCCCGGAGCCACTCGTCGAAGACGACCAAGCGCCGTTCAACCACCCCCAAAGGGACTTCACAAGCAGGTCTCGGCGTGTTACAACAACAACATGAATGAATTATCAATTACTTTGTATGAAGGGTATTTAAGTTTTATCTAAGTTTGAGCTTCCTTCTTTAATTTCTTATTCACTGAAATATACAGTTTTAAATAAAATTAAATTCTGCTTTTAAATAGAATAAAAGTAAATATTGTTATGTTTGTAATAAACGTGGAATAACTTTATAAAATATTTTAATATTTTACTAATGCTTTTCTATATATAGAACATTAAACAACAACAATTTAACTACAATTCCTCATAATGTGTTTAATGGATTGGGACGACTACGTGCATTACGACTTTCGGATAATCCATTTTCCTGCGATTGCCACTTATCTTGGCTGTCACGATATTTACGTAATGCACCTCGTCTTGCGCCCTATACTCGCTGTCAGTCACCATCGCAATTAAAAGGACAAAACTTAGCTGACCTACATGATCAAGAATTTAAATGTTCAGGTAAATTTGTTTATATTCTCTATATTTTTTCAGTTGAACATCAATTGAAAAGTAAACAAAAATTACAGTTTTATATGAAAATAATATATTAAATGTTGCATTTATAAATATAATTATAGGTTTTTTTTTATTTTGCTGTTTTCATACAATGAATCGTATTTTATCAAGTAATCAGACGACGTATTAATTTCAGTGCTATTTACTATTTCGCATTTCTATGCTGATAATTGGCAAAGCTACAGGGCACTTTTAAATGTATTAAATGTGTAATTGTAACAGTTTTGAGATTTCAGTTTTATCTAATAATAATACTTATTGAAGAGTTATAGAACAGTCGATAACAATATCAGTGTAGATGTATAGTCTCATGGTCCCTGGATCTAAATAATTTTTCCGACAATTTTTTTTTATATATTTTCATAATTTATAAAATACAATTTATGTTGAAGTATCTTAAATCTATGTGTTAAGTTCCTACATATACTTTAGGATGTACCGCCTCTAAGAAATTACAAATTTGTTAATAATATAAACACAGCAAGTGAATTTGTTAATAAAACTTTCACAGCCAATTAACAAAACTTCAGAAAAATGTGCGAGCATACAAGTCAAGTACGGCTTTGGGTCAGTTGGTTAAGGTGCGTTGACTCTGAGCTTCTAATTTGGCAGGGCACGAGTTCGATTCCTGGTACTTGCAGTCTCACGAAAAAAAAAAAAATTATTTACGAATAATTAAATACAAGAATTATTTCTAAGACCACTGATCATGGGTTTTTGGCAATACTCGAAACAGCTATATGGTCAGCCAAAAATTCAATTAATTAAAGTAATATAAAATTCGAAAGACCTTTTTATCAAATTTGTTATTTAAATAATTAGTGCCGTAAGGACAAGGTATCTATTTTCGCATAGAGAAAAGGTTTGACAGTGAAGAAATCTTCATAAATTGAAGCATGCGACTTTTATTGTTTATTCGTAAACAACAATTATAACTATTATAAATTTGTATTATCAAATTATTAACACTACTGTTGTAGCTTGTTATAGTGCTCCTAATCTCAATCATTCAATATTGTGAACAAGACAAATCCTCGTGTTAGGTTGCTAATAATAAAATTTTTTCTTCTTCACAATATAAGAAAATAAAATGCATACTTACATATTAAAGGTCTAACCGAGCATGCTCCCATGGAATGTAGTTCAGAAAACAGTTGTCCGCATCCTTGTCGATGTGCTGATGGAATAGTTGACTGCCGCGAAAAGAGTTTGACATCGGTACCTTCATCATTGCCAGACGATACAACTGAATTGTAAATATAAACTTGAAGAAAAAATATCAAAACTTAAAAATTTTAAATTATTTTTGTTCTTCAGGCGATTGGAACAAAATTTTATCACTGAACTGCCACCGAAAGCGTTTGCAAATTTTAGACGATTGCGACGCATTGATTTATCAAATAATAACATTTCGAGAATAGCGCATGATGCTTTAAGTGGCCTAAAAGCACTAACTACTCTGTGAGTATTTACATATATTACATATATATATATATTTTTTTTTAAGCTATTCATAATTATTTTCCAAATATATTCTAATGATGCCGCTTTTGTTTTTTTTTTTGTTAATTTGAAATCATTAAACCTTTACTCTTTACGAATACTTTTATTTTGCTTTTTGGATTCTAATGTTAAAATGGCACAGATTTTAATAAAAAAATAAACCATTGTTCTTTTTAGAGTTCTTTATGGGAACAAAATAAAGGACTTGCCTTCAGGTGTATTTAAAGGACTAACTTCACTTCAATTGCTTTTACTTAACGCCAACGAGATTTCATGCATACGAAAGGACGCCTTTCGTGACTTACAAAGTCTAAGTTTGCTCTCACTTTACGACAATAATATCCAGTCCTTAGCGAATGGGACATTTGATGCTATGAAAAGTATTCAGACTTTGTAAGTATGATTGATATAAGTTCACTTTAAATGACATATTTTTATTTAAGTACACGGATGCAATATCATCTCTGCATATAAATTATATGCAGAAGAAAATCATTGACTGTCATAAAATATATCCTTTTTTATAATATATAAATATATATATATATATCACAGGGACTGATAATAAAGTTATTTTTTTTTCGGATTATTTAGGCATTTGGCAAAGAATCCTTTTGTTTGTGATTGCAACTTACGTTGGT